GAAAATCTTAATCAGAGACTCTAAACCTTCTTCTTATTGACATCTTCAGAAAAACAAGCTGACAAAAGTGTCGTTATTCGAAAGCTAAGTTAGAAATCTAGCAAGTCTCAATTAGAAATGTTTTAAATGAGGCATTTTTGAAATCCAATTTATTCTTTGGCTTAAGAAATGTGAGAAGTTAAATTGGAAAACGAATACAGATAGAATACAAGTTAGAGGTGTTTGGTGAATTAATATTAAAAAAGTTATTGCTTAATTGAAATAATTCTAATAAAGGTTCTCCTCATTTCCAATTTAGCTTTCCAGATTTATAACATACACGTCTTTCCAGGAATTGCATGTAAAAAAATTTCTCAATTATTTTATAACGTTAATAAAGGACTACAGCCTTTAATTGACATTTTGAAATTTTGACTCCATTATTTGTTATTTTTTAAATTTTTCCTACAGAATCATTATCCATCATCATCATCATCATCATCATCATCATCATCATCATCATCATCATCATAATAATAATAATAATAATAATAATAATAATAATAATAATAATAATAATAATAATAATAATTGCTACTTGTGTTTGTATTTTAAGTTCAACGTAACTATTTTGAGTTCAATTGCGTGATTTGTGGCCTAAACATTTAACCATTTTGGTTCCACCACGAACTAGTTACTTATATTAGTTCGCTTCGATCAATTATATTATTGATTTCTTTTTAGAGTCATACGCTGCAAAATAGTTTAAGAAACAAAATGTAGAAAAATTTTCCAGTGCTTCTTTTTAAGCTAAAAAAAAAGAACTCAAAATCTTAACTTAGATAAAATTAGTCATTTACTATCAATTCGACAAAAAGGGCTCAGTATATATATACTTGGTCATTAATATTGTACGAGGGCCTGGCCAAAAAAAATATATTGTACAAGCGCAGCGTAAAACAACAACCACAAGAAATTCACAAGTTTTTTCTTTGATGAAATCACTCATGTAAGTTTATTTTCTCCTTAAATTTTGTCAAGCCACATATCTATTGTGTTGTCATTAAAAACAACCAAACCACAACAAAACCACCGAAACCAGTCGGAAAAAATCATCGATCAAAGTTGGAATTATTTAACATAATAAACAAGACGTACAATGACGAAACTATTTGTTACAAAGGCATAGAGATTTGAGGTAATTATGCCTTTTAGCGCAAATCACACAACAAACAAAAGTAAAATTAAAGTTTCGTAACATAGATGATAATCATATCGTCACAAACTGAGTAAGATCGTCCGACTTTTGTCAAGGACAAACATGGCAATAAAATTAGTTCAGAATTATAATCTTGGTTTGCTACTCTTTTGAATGAGAATCGAACACTTGGGATTCTCCGAGACCTTTCATGGGAGGGGACCAAAAAAGCACATACATATCAATCAAACATGAGGCTCTCTAAATGTGGGAGAGAGGAAACACTTTGGATTCAACTTACTTCACATTCTTATAGCTTTATTTCTTCATGCAGAGATTTCTGCCTTGTGTATTTGGCACTATCTTAGTACAGAAAGAATCGGAGATTGTAAGAATCTCATGTGCTGGTTTGAGTTCCATTAGGGTTAGGGCATGTGGCACGTAACGTACAAGCACTAAGAGTGGTGAAGAAGGCCTTTCGTTTGGTTGGGTGGACCATTATTACATATATTATATATGATGCAGCCTTATGGAAAAGGTCTCTGTTCATCTGATATCATCACGGTATCGCCTTTTGGTGTTTGAGTTTGTGTGTAGTTCCTCTCCTACTCTATTTCTTCACCATCATAGATTCATCAATTATACATACTTGTCAAATTCACACCACACATGATCAATAAAGGCAGATATCATAGGTTCAGCTTTGTCTACTAATTAATAAACGGGTGTTTGGATAGAAACCAAACCATAGTTTCAAAAGTAATTTTATGGTATACGAAGTAAATATGTAGAGGAATTTGTCTCAATTTGCGAAAAAATACTTTTGAAAAGCACTTTTAAGCAAATCCAAACACCTCCAAAATTGAAAAGGCCAGTCAATATCTTGTTAATTTAATAATAATTGATAATTTGTATCGAGATGTCAAATATGAGTCCATTTAATTTGACGAAGGTGTCCCACATTGAATGAAGATGAGTTAAATAAGATTTATATAAGTGAAAACACTCATGAACCGTGATTAAGTTTCTGGTTAAGATGTAGGGTTGAGCTTTTTCACATATATTTTCCTCCAGTTACCCGCTCAACTTATAAGTCTCTCCCTTTCTGGGATTTTTTTTTTGGGGCCTAACAGTTTAAATTGCATGTGGTCCTGTTAATAGCCTACCAAGCTTTAAAATAAATTAAGCAGAGATTTGCAGCTCAACTATGAAATATTATAGTATCACATAAGCTCTCGTGATAAGCTTCAATATCCTAGAGAGCCTTTTGTTTAATATTTTAGATTCACTGAACTATGTGTGAATAACATATATGTTTGATATAATTGGAGCATAAGCAATCCGAAAGTTTAAATTCAGAATAATAATCCAAACTTTGCAATTTAGGTACATAATATTCAAATTCATGGCCATCACATTGTTGGACTTGCATTAATCATCACGTTACTCGATTTACTTCTACTCATCCTAGGGCACTAAATCTATCTCGTCTTCTCATTTGATGAATTACTATTCTGAATCTAATCATGTTTAACTAACATGAGTCATTTTTTATGGGTCTAATCCCAAGTCCCAACACGTTGAACACCTTAGTATTTAAATGAGGGGGGTAGTTCAGTGTCCCAGATCATAGCTAACGTTCCTTTTCCACTATATAAGAGATAGTGAAAGTGATCGAGGGACAAAAAATGGCGGATATGCAAACCTGTCACATAAAGAACCAGATCTATGGACAATAATACAGATGGATGTATATGTCTTTTGAGTGTATATGGATCAATGAATGAGACACTTTTGATAAAGCGAGATGAAAAATTGAAGGCCTTTCGATTTCAGGGATTGGAATTAATTGAAATAACATTAAATTTATGATACTGTTTGTTTTGCAGTGACATGCGATGTGTCAACAGACAAATGAACAGGCCCACATCGGATGGATTTGGGAGTCCCATCACAGCATGCTTCGGCCGACCCTCCAGAATTTGCTCTTTCCACTTTGTGGTTCTTTGTTCATTGCATCGCCTTTCATTATTTCATATGGTACCAATCATTCCATTCTTTTTTTCCCCACTTCCATATCATTACTCTCTCTATAAACTCCTGCTTTTTCTAACATCACAATTCCCAAAATATTTCCCATACTTTCAATATTATTTTTTTTTTCATGTTACTTTTTCATATTCAATGTTATCTCACGGGATGTTTTTTTTTTTTTTTTTTGATATTTCTGATGTTAAGAGTTCTTAATTCTTCTGGTTTGAGATGAATTGAATGCCTTCCACTCAACTCAGTCATAATTGGTGTTATGAAAAATTATCATGAGATCTTAGAAAAAGAATATAATCACAAAAAGAAAATCTTAATTGAACAATATGAATCTTGTTTGTCATTTCTTGCACTGGATTACATTCTTTATTGAGACCACACAGTGATTTTTTCCTTTGTTTTATATGATTTTATCATTCAAATATTGTTTTATTATTGTTCTTTGTTGATACTCCCTATGGTCCTAAATCTAAAAACTAGATAAGAGGGCTTACTTTGATCCTATATATAAAATCTCAGTCCATTGTGTTTATCAAATTTATAATTTTTTTAAAAAAATATTTCTATTAATTGCATATGGTAATAAGTTCCCATCAAGGGTCAAATAGGGAATTTTAGCAAAATCAACACATTAATTTGTTACAAATAATTAATTTAACTTATTTTTTTAATATTCATCAATTAATTATCGATTAATTATCTATTTTCAAAATTTTAGTTACAGAGAGACCAAGAGCTATTTTGGTTGGCTGTCTGATGATAATGACTGAATAATACAGTGATGGGTAGTGCCAGTGGATGCCTGTCTCAAATATATACCTCTGTTTTAAATCAACAAATAATCGAACTTTATTCAATTAATAACTGTTAAGTTAGTTTTATTTATTCATAAACATATTACAAACGAATCCCCTTATCCTCTTGAAGTTTCTATTTGTTCCTTATGCTCCTTATGCCTAACTCAACTGATAATTATATATAAATATATAAAAAAATTCGCCAGTTATTTATAAATTATGAAGGATATAGTTCATTTTTTACATTTTTTTTCAGAATCTAGAACTGGTCTATATATATATATATATTTTTGGTTACAACTGGTCTATATTATTGATAACCCCCATCCACTGATTTGTCCTCCTTGGAATTTATTTTTGGGCTAGCGTGCCATATATGGGCCTTTTCTTCTGCCACCTCCATATATGGGCCATATCATGTCGTTTCAACTAATTTGGAATCCAATTTAAATATTTTGGGCCGGTAAAGCAATCAGCCTAACCCGCTAAGCTTGTCCAGGTGAGTGAGGCCCACCTCCTTTATTTTATTTAATTATTTTCAAATTTTATAATATATCAGCATGTCTCCATATCTTTGTGATATTCTTGCTCTTCTAGATTATTTACAGACATTAACCAGAGAAGTTTATTAAAATTATAAATACTTTTTTTAATTTTGATTATCTTCAAAAGTTTAAGTAAACACAGTGAAATTTCATAAAAGTGATTTTTTTAATGTAAAAAACTTACACAAACGGTCCCTTAATCCTACTTTAACTGGGGTCACAGGTCGGTTTAGAACTCTATTTTTGCCAAGCAAGTCTGTGTTGATTTGGGCTCAATTTTTGGGCTGAAATTCAGGAGTGGGGCCAATTTTTCAGTGAAATTGCCAATGGGCCGAAAACAAAAGGAGCTATAAAGCCAGAATCTAAGCGAGAAATTTGGCATTGCGAGTTGGGACCACGTGCTGTGTGCATGGGTTCATATTGGTGGACAGCTGAATGAAATCTCTGAGGGATGTTATGCTCCACCATGCTCAGGTTATAAAAGCTGCTTCTACCTCAAACATTTTTGCTTTGAATGAAGTCGTTCGTCTTTACGCTAATCATGGACTCCCGCATGTTGCCCAGAAGTTGTTTGATGAAATGCCTCAGCGAAATGTATTCTCTTGGAATACCGTCATATCGGCTCATATCAAAGCTCGGAACCTGGCTCAGGCACGAGCTCTTTTTGATTCTGCCCCTCATAAAGATTCGGTTTCTTATAACTCCATGTTATCTGGTTATGTTAGTGCTGATGGATATGAAACTGAGGCGCTTAATTTGTTTACTACAATGCAATCCATACATGAGACAACTGGAATTGATGAGATCACTCTGACGACAATGATTAACTTGGCTACAAAGCTTCGTGTTGCTCTTTTTGGAAGGCAAATACATTCATACATGGTGAAAACTGCAAATGATGGAAGTGCATATGCAGTGAGTTCTCTTATTGACATGTACTCGAAATGTGGGTTATTTGGTGAAGCTTGTAACGTCTTCAGTGGTTGCAATGGGGAGGTGGATTTGATTTCAAAGAATGCAATGCTTGCTGCTTGTTTCAGGGAAGGAAAGATGGGCATGGCTTTGAATATATTTTGGGAAAGTCCCGAATTGAACGACATTATATCCTGGAATACATTGATTGCCGGGTATGCCCAGAATAGTAATTTCGAGAAATCACTTGCCTTGTTTGTTCAAATGGTTCGAGATGGCGTTAGCTGGGATGAACGCACTTTAGTGAGTGTTTGGGTGCTTGCTCTGGCCTACAATGCTTAGCACTTGGGAAGTCTGTCCATGCTTGGGTGTTGAAAAACACCTCATTTTCTAATCAATTTATTAGCAATGCCATTGTTGATCTCTACTGCAAGTGCGGGAATCTCAAATATGCAGAATCCGTTAATGCAGGAACCAAGACTAGTAACCTCTTTGCAGTTGCTTCATTTATTTCAGGCTATTCATCTCAAGGCAACATGAGAGAATCCCAAAGACTTTTTGATTCACTAACAGAAAAAAACTCCGTCGTCTGGACGGCTCTAATTTCTGGTTATGTCAAAGCAAAGCGATGTGACGTAGTCTTCAAACTTTTTAGAGAGTACATGACCAATGAAGCATTAGTTCCTGACGGGTTGGTCATTATCAGTGTGCTTGGTGCTTGTGCTATAGAAGCCACGCTTACTTTGGGAAAGCAGATTCATGCTCATGTCTTGAGAATGGGAATTGAAATGAATGAAAAATTACCTAGTGCTTTAGTTGATATGTATTCAAAATGCGGGAATATAGAATATGCTGAGAAAATTTTCCATCTAGTTGCTGGTAGTGATAGAGATACAGTCTTTTATAACATTATGATAGCTGGTTTTGCTCACCATGGACTTGTGAATGAAGCGTTTAAGCTTTTTCAGGAGATGTTGAAGAAACATATCAAGCCAGACGCGGTGACCTTTGTTGCACTTCTATCAGCCTGTGTACATCGTGGACTAGTCAATCTAGGAGAGCAGATTTTTTGTTCCATGGAAGTAGATCACAACATTTTGCCAGGTGCTGAACATTATGCGTGTATGGTTGATATGTATGGAAGGGCTAATAAACTAGAGAAGGCAATAGAATTCATGAGAAAGATTCCTGTACAAATGGACGTCAATATCTGGGGAGCATTTTTTCACGCTTGTCGTTTAAATGGTAATATAGAGCTTGCTAAAGAAGCAGCGGAGAAACTATTGAAAGTGGAGGCAGATAATGGGTCTCGTTATGTGCAATTGGCTAATGTATATGCTTCGGAGGGGAATTGGGATGAGATGGGAAAAATAAGGAACAAAATGAGGGGAAAAGAGGCAAGGAAACTTGCTGGGTGTAGTTGGATGTACGTGGAAAATGGCATTCACGTATTTACTTCAGGCGATAGTTCTCATTCAACATCAGATGAAATATATTCTGCTTTGGTCTGTTTGAAAGATATGATGTATTTTTCATCCGCAGAACTGGAACAGCTTTATGAAGATTCAGGGGAATTCTTTTGAGGACATAAAGCGTCAATTAGCCAGTGCCATTGAATGTGATTCTTTGGCACATTAAAGGAGAAGTCTGTTTTGTGGCGATCACGTCGTCAGAATTCGATGCCCGAGGTATGCAGAGACAAATGTTGGAAGAAAACAGGTGATACTGGTTGCCAATGTTATTGTTGGACCACTGGGAATATGATTGGATGTTCTGTTCCTGAAACCACAACAGAACAGGATAGAGCCAAGGATCACATAATCCAAAACCTTAGTGACATGTTAACTGGAGTTCATTCCTTGTCGCCTCTTCTTAATCTAAACTGTTTAACTTCAAGGCATAGCGAGTATTTGCCTTGTCCACATTTTGGGTCCAAAGAACTTTCACGTAAGGTTAGAGATCATAATATACTACAGCAATCCAGAATTTGTAAGCCAGTTGGCGCAAAAGCAAACTGCGAGATTGAAAGCCCAAAGAGCAAGATTTGATTCAGGTGAGTTAGAGATCATGTACCAAAAACAAAGAAAAAAGAATCTCTTCTGCAGTTTTCTATGCTGTTCTGAGATTTCAATCTTACTTCTGAACTCGGTAACCTGTCATACTTAACAGTCTCTTGATTTCCATTCCCCTGGGCATGGGGGATTGACATCTTGAAGGGTATATCTTAAAGCTAATATCATCTTGCATCCTGTAGAACATTCTTGGCGGATACTTCCCCTGTTCTTATTGATACATGGCCATCGGCATATTTTATGTTAACTCATACATTCAATTATGGGTGATCACATGTTGGAGTTAGTGACTTGGTGGTGGCTATAGACAAGAGCTGAAGCGAGTTTTATGTGGATGACATATTGTTATTATAACAGTGCTCCATGACCACTTCTTTGTCCCACTTGCATTCTTATTTTCCCTTCCATGTGTAGGAACATGCATCTGATGCATGATTACATATTCTTTATATTTTTTTGTTGTGATAAGATAATCCTTCTTTTTTACATGCCTGAGAAATGCTCTGTGCACTAAAATATACGCAATTAATAAGCATGAAGATCTATTTTCCGTGTGGGTGGAGTATTTAATAATCTTGATGCGGAAGCCTGACTTCAACAGGTTATTATTAGGAACACAAGTATTTTCCAGACCATTAAGTAATGCGCCAACTTGGAATCTTGTAACCACATGAAGACAGATCTGCTGGTGTGATTGACATTATTGGTCCAGTCCGGCGAAGTAATCAATCCCGTTCCAGTCCTGCCTAATTTAGGTTTAGAAATCTGGCTGGCCCTGTGGGTTGGTTGAATTGACCGGGTTGTTCTCTCTCTCTCTCTCTGTGCCTTCTAAGCCCAAAATGATGTTCTTTTATTTTTTATTTTTAAAAAAGATAATACCTTTTCTATAGGTGTGATAATGTATTGTTGAGTTTGATTATTTTAAGAATTGAACTCTGTTTTATATTTGCGTTTGCTTTATTTCTGCCTTAGTAACTATCTATTTACTGGAGAATTAATTTTTTATTTAAATATTACTTTTAAAATCTATTTACTTTTGTGCCTTAATATCTGTTTTATATTTTAGTTTGCTTATTTCTGCCTTAGTAACTATCTATTTACTAGGGAATTAATATTTTTTATTTAAATATGACTTTTTAACGGTCATATATAAATATTTTATTTATTTTAATTAAGTATATTATTTTAATCATGATTGATTTTAGATCATAAAACCAATTTTCCATGTTAATTTAAATGTGCAATAGTGGAGATTCTTTAAATCTAACCATTGGGATGGAAAATATATAGCCGTTCACAAGGACATGAATACTTGCTAGGCTACATGATTATAATGCAAAATTGTGAATGAAACAATCAGGTAAGTATCTAAAATATTTTATTTTAACAATTCTTTGCCATTTTATTTTAATATATTTTACTTTTAGCCTTATAAGTATTATCAAATATAATTGGGCATAAAAATCTAACCTTTTCCATGTTAAGTCTGCTGGTACCGCATTGTCAATTGTAACGTGAATAACGAGTAAATTTATATTAATATTAGTTAATACAAGCTCCTATTCTTAATATAAATATTAGTTTCATTTTCAATTCGGTTTTAAATATAAGGTTCCAATTCATTTTATTTCTCATGTTTATTTATTTTTTAAAATCAATTCTTGTAATAATTACACAAGTTAAAGGTTTAATCAAATAGTAATTTTAGCTAATACTCCTCCGGTCTTAAATATAAGACCCACACCTCTGAAGCATATAGTTAATAAGGGTATTTTAAGAAAGATATCACCTAATTATTATAACTAACTAACTCAATAAATTTTTTTAATTTATTTAAATTACTAAACTAATTCTTATATTAAATAGTCAATTAGTTTTTATATAAAAATCAGAACTAATATATTACTATCTCATATCTTAATTATAAGAACTTGTTAACTAATTTGAGAAAATTAAAAAAATAAGTTAAAATAGTTATTATAATAAATAAATGTTGTTTTTTCTAAAATATTTTTACTGATCAAGTTTATTGGTTAAAACTATTATTATTAGGAAGACTATTTTAAAAAAATATATATATATATAAATATAAGAGATAAAATATATTAAAATTTTATATTTAAAATCAAAATAAAAATCAAATTACGTTTTAAAACCGGATGTAGAGTTTGATTTAATTGATGAGTCAGCATAAGTTTGACCAAAATAATCTGACGTGGCATGTCTAATAAGCAGGTGATGTGAAATTTTTTCGGGGTTAAGGTGCATCCAGCACCTCTAAATATTTTTCCAGGTGCACCCAGTGACCTAAAGTAATTTATGGTGCAATTTTCCCTCAAAGTAATTAAAATGGTGCACTGGTATCCTATGCTAACAGATCTGTTACTTTGACTGTGAAATTGATGAGTCAGCACAAGTTTGACCAAAATAATCTGACCTGGCATGTCTAATAAGCAGGTGATGTGAAATTTTTTTCGTCTGCCACTGCTTTGTTTTCTCTGTTCAGTAAATGCTCTCTTCGGCTCTTGGAATTTTTTCAGAGTAAGAAATTTTTTCAAAGATACTCCTCTGGTCCTATTTATAGTAAAGAGAGAATATATTTTTTGGTCCTATTTATAAGGCACTGAGAGAAATTTTTTGTACGAATGTACAAATTTACCTCTCATTTATTATTGTATTGACTTTGTTTATATGAGGTATAATGTATATTAAGTAGAAATAAAGTTGAAAAGTTATTAAAATTTAAATGAGAGTTAATGAAATTTAAGGTTTTTCTTGTTCTGTGTAAACATGCTGGAAGTGCCTTATAAATAGGACCAGAGGAGTAATATTCAGACAAAAAAAATGGAATTAACAAGAAAACCCATGTCAACTGCTTATTAGACATGTCAGGTCAGATTATTTTGATCAAACTTGTGCTGACTCATCAATTTCACAGTCAAAGTAACAGATCTGTTAGCATAGGATACCGGTGCACCATTTTAATTACTTTGAGAGCAAAATTGCACCATAAATTACTTTAAGTCACTGGGTGCACCTGGAAAAATACTTGGGGGTGCTGGATGCACCTTAACCCCGAAAAAATTCCACATCACCTACTTATTAGACATGCCACGTTAGATTATTTGGTCAAACTTGTGCTGACTCATCAATTAACGGTCAAGGTCAAAGTAACAGATCTGTTAGCATGGGATACCGATGCACCATTTTAATTACTTTGAGGGTAAATTGCACCATAAATTACTTTAAGCCACTGGATGTACCTGGATAAAATATTTGGGGGTGTTGATACGTCTTAACCGGTTTAGGAGAGATGCAGCCAGCAGTGTCGTTGGAAACAACCCAAAAAAAAAAAAACAGAGAGCTCGCAGTGTTAAGATCGGCAGTCCCTTTTGTTTGAAGCTGAGCTCGGTCAAGCGCGCCTTCCTCCTCAGATCTTCGATCGGCGTGAAGCCTGACTCCTCTTTTTGTGTGTACGAAAGCTCTGAGGAACACGCTTGTTCAAGATCAGTCCTCTCCAACGTCAAAATTCAATGCCATTCATTTCAATCTTGGTTCGTCCTTTCTTCGCCCCTCCCAAAGCCCTATAGAAGAGTCGGAGGGTACCACCACATCATCTGAAGGTTGAGGTGGAAGAGGAGAGACGCCATGATTGGCCGCAGAGAAGGTCCCTTGATGAGGAACAATACCCATTCTCTACACAAATCGAGGGTCCTTGTCGCTGTAGCCATCGGGGTTTTCGTTGGATGTGTCTGCGCTTTTATGTTTCCCAGTGGGTTCTTCGGTTCTAACGCAATCCCTCGCCGCAATAACAATCTCGTGGGATCCAAGATTCAGGTTCTATATTTGATCGTTCTGGCTCTTTCTGTATCTATTTTTTTTTCACTTTTTCCCCCTCTGAATCTTGTTTGGATAGAGAATTCATTGAATTAGCAGTATTACCAATGCACTGGGATCATTTGGATAACAAATGAAGCCGTTGACTTTCGATTCATATGTTTCGACTAGTTGTTTTTGGTATATTATTGACTTGTTGTGACGTTGCATTTTGACTTGCCGGTTCTATCTTCAGAAGTGTTGATTAATTGCCTACTTCCATCTTGGGATCCACTTTCATGCTAGGATTCTAATGTGATTGGTATATGATCTGTTCCACCGTTCGATATTTTGACCTGAAGAAAACTGGTATTTTTTGGGTCCATTTTTCTGCTTAGAGATCACATCAGTCTGGTTTCCCAGATCTTTGTGCCAAACTGGTAGGTAGTTTGATTAATTTAGTGAATGGATGGGGCTGAACTTTTAACACATGATGAATAGTTGAGCGGTTAAATAGCTTGCTCATATGCGCAATGTCTGTGTGTAGGTGAATCCACATGGTTTTTTTCTGGGCTTAAAATAGCACTTTGTATAATTTCTATTTCCAAGCGGCAGAGAAGGGGCCATAGGATAATATGCTTCTTTCTTACAATGTCTTCTTTTGGCAGGCAAATTCAGCTGAATGCGAATCATCAGATCAGGTCAACATGTTGAAATCAAAGTTTGTGGCAGTATCAGAGAAAAACGCTCAGCTGAAAAAACAGGTCAGGGAGTTGACTGAGAGGCTTCAACTGGCAAAGCAAGGGAGTGATCAGGCTCAAAAGCAGTTTCTTGCTTTGGGTAAACAGCCTAAAGCTGGGCCTTTTGGTACTGTTAAGGGATTAAGAACTAACCCTACTGTTGTTCCTGATGAATCTGTGAACCCAAGATTGGCACAGATATTAGAGAAAGTAGCAGT